CATTGTGTCCTTTAATCAGTCACCAAATGTTTATTGAGGACAAACAATATATCTGATTCTGTACTAAGTGGTGAAGATTTAAAAAATAGTGATCCAAAGGGCTCTGATATTATGGAGCTTATTATATTTTAGCAGGCAGTAGTAGTTGTGCAGACGATTTTCAAAAATCAAAGACCATAACTTGACCTAGGTCATGACTGGGAAAATACAAATGAGTACATGGATTTTAATATCCTTCAATATATGTGCTGTAACACTCTCCATTCCCAGGGTCCTCAGCCCTTGTTGGGAACCACTGTGTTAAAAATAGCCATTTTAATTATTAAACATTTTGGTTGCATTAAGTCCAATAAAAAATGCATTATAGCAGGCTACCATGTAGTAGCCTACATTTATATTTATAAAATAATTTTAAAGTTTGTACCATTCTGATAAAATTAAACTGTCCAAATGGGAGTTTCACAATGGAAAATTTGTTTTTTTTTTAATTTTTTTTATTGTTATACCCATATCTAGGCAAACAAAAAACAAGATATTCGGGGAATGTGGAGAGTTTTGAGAGAGCACCCAAGTTATTAAGTTAAAAAAAAAATCTTATAAGGCAATCCTATGGTTAGCATAGATATTTCCGTGTCATTGAGGTGAGTGGAGTATTGAGGAGGGATATAGACAATGAGTTTAAGGAGATCAGCATTATAATTGTAATACCTAACATTTGTATGGTACTTACAGTTTTCAGAGCCCCACTCATATTTTTCTTTAAATCATATACACCATAGTTATCAACTATAGCTTCAGTTTACACAAAACAGAAAAATTAACCAAAATTTTATTATAAAGGAGTTGGGCCTTATATGAGTAATTATTTCCTGAGGATGAAGATGGTCACATTGGAACGATTTGCTAGCGATGTCACTGATACACCTTCTCTAGGAATTCTTAAATAACAGCATAGACTCATTGATCAAGATTGAGATCAAGATTGGTCTCATTCATCAGTCAAAATGAGAAATGATATAACATAGGTAAGTATATAAAGGCCCTTCCCTCTTGCAGGTATAGTAGAAAAAGCACAGGCATGAGCGTCAAATAGCCTTGGCTGGAATCCTAATACCATCTCTTGCTAGCTGTGTGTCCATGAATAATTTATTTGACAGCTCTGATTTTCTTTATCATGTTTGAGAGCTCTGGAGGTGTTAAGGGATGATACAGAGTTTCTAGACTGTTTAGTAAACAATTGTTCTCTTCCTCCTGATGCCTTCCTCTGAGACCTCCATCCCTTCCTAACTCTAAAATGGAAACTTCTGAGCAACCGAGGATGAAATTGAAGCCAAATTTGAGACACACATATTCCTAAGCCCATTAGACTAGTATAAAATTAGTATAAAATTTTAGCAGCATATATGTCTAAAACTAGTTAAATGAGGCAAGATCATGGATCAGTCTTTTTTACAGTTGACCAGATGATACCAAGAGAAAAGTCAGATTAATTTCTGTCATTTATAACATGAATTAAATTTACACATGGAACATGCAATAGAGTTTTTTAAATACCAGCACAGGATAACAGTATTAATTCCAGGATAATGATGATGATGATGATGATGATGATGATGATTTACTGTCACTTTAAGGAAAATTTTAGAAAAAAATCACTTAAGCTTTATTCTCCCATGTGATAAGGTTTGATTAACTTTTCTTCCTTGAAACTCTAGTGTAAAAATGAGCTATTATCTTGCTTCCATAGAAGGGTATGATTAACACAAGTCAATCTGTATCTCTTTAACAGGGACAAGTGATCCATATGTGAAGTTTAAAATTGGAGGAAAAGAAGTTTTTAGAAGTAAAATAATATACAAGAACCTCAATCCTGTGTGGGAGGAGAAAGCTTGCATTCTTGTTGATCATCTTAGAGAGCCATTGTATGTAAAGGTGAGCCATTTATTTGTTTTTCTATAATACAATCTGACAAAAATCTCTGTAATACAATCTGACATGGTAAAAAAAAAAAAACTGCTTCTCACCTCTAGAGAGCAAGAAATATCTACATGAGAAAAAAGAAAAAGCTCCCATAAAAAAAAAAAAAAAACTGAGATAAGACAAAGAATTAAAAAAAAGAGAGAAATGTAAAGGAAACTTTATTTCTATGGAGGTTTAGAAGACATAAGTTAGGGCAGCTGCAGTCAGAAGAGGAAAGCAGGTGATAATAAAGACAGCACTGGGCCATTTGGGTTTCATTTAATGTCCTTTAAGAGAAAAATCGGAGAAGGAAAAGGATTTATTTTTATTTACTTTTGCTGTGGATCTGTTTCTTCGATGGGATATTATTCTATGACAGAACCATGTGGCTCACCAGTCTTTAAAAAGGTTGCAAGCGAACATTCCAAAATTACAGTCGACATTGGTTGTGTTCTTGTGCTATTTGCTTGTGTTTAAGAATGAGTATTCATCTATATAAAAATCCAGATATCAAAATGCATATTTCAAAAGGAATATTTTAATAGGTTCAATGGCAAACAAAAATCTGAAGTACATAGAAAAAAATGATGGAAAAAAATTTTGGTTTGAGAAAGCAAGAATATACATACATATACACTTCTACTGGAGAGGGCGACACTGCATGCAGGCCAAAAAGCTTGGTTAATGACACAATATGAGCAAAGAAGCTAGGAGAGAGAACCCGGGGTCGTTTTTGTTCATTTGTTTACCACGTTGAGTGTTCAGGGTACAACATAAGTAGCCACAACTTCACTTCTACCATACAGGAGTTACACAGTGAATTATAAAGATTTGCCACTTTTTTACATTTCTACAGAAGAAAAATTACTAAATTAAATATAAATTGCACTGGCCTTTCAAATATTAGTATAAATACAAAATGACAATATTTTATTTTATGTATTTCTTTATACTTTTTGATATGCTTTGATTTTTTAAAATTTGGTTTTCATTTCTGTTAATTCTGTGGAGCTTCTTTTGTGAAAAAATCTCTAACTGTTAGCTTAATTTTTTAATTTTTTGTGTTATCTACTTTTTGCCTAAACTTGGATACACAAAGACTTAAAATACACTGGTGAAAATTATATTTTTTACTAGAATTTCATGAAAATTGCATTAATTTCATTGTTTCTACACAACCCTGTGTGATTGACTGACTTGAATTTAATATGATGCCCACATCCTCCATGATGGAAGGTGAATCTTGCCCAAAAGATTTCTTAGGGCCTAACCAATTCTGTAGTAACAGTTAATATGAAAATGTATCCATGAAGTATATGGTTAAGAAATGTGAAGTGTCTACCTTCCTATTTCTAGTCAAAGGAAAAAGTCCAAACGTACCCTGTTATCTGAGTTCTATCAATGTAAAGGTTACCAAGGGAAACAAAATATAGTTCTGAGCTGAGTTTATAAAATCACATTAAAGTCGCAGTGCTCGTACCATTTCTAATAAAAACATTTTTTTCCCACAAAGAATCCCAGAACTGTTATTTTTAAATAATCTATACAAAATAGGTAAGAATACACTTTCCAAATAGGTTGAAAGTCATATAGCTTATAATTTTAATGAAAAGAGAATATTCCTTCAATTCTGAATGACTTCACAGTAAGAGCAGGAGATGAAAACAAGTCTGGAAGAATGGGCTTGAAAAATATTTATAAAAAGGTACCAGTAGAAGTGGGGAGTTTAAATGCAGTACTTCTAACTAAGACATGAGCCACTGAGCCTGCTCTGTATCCTCAGGGATGCTCTGGCACACATCTTAAATAATAAGATAAATTCAGCATCCATTTCCACTGAATCGAATTCAAATTCTCCATTGTCATTTCACTGACACTGTTATCCAAGGTACATATGAACACCCAGAGTTACAGTGGAAGATATAGAAATAATATAAAGGGGAAATGTTTGTGTAAATTGTTGCTCGTTTGGCCTAATCATGAGCTAGAAATCTGGGTATTAAATTGAAGTGCTCTTCTAAATAATAGAAAAATTTTGATAATTAGGAAAACACTTTGGTTAGGGGTCATATTGCTCTCTAAGACTGTCATTTTAACACAATTGATAGTTCCTTAAATGACTCATTTATCCAAGCTTAAGATTTAAAATTTAAAAAGTACTTTAAGCTCAGTTCAAGTTAAGGACCACAGTTTTGTTCTACATAAAATTATTCCTCAGTAGGATTTAAGGGCCCTAAAAGAATGTTCTATATCAATGATCCTCAACCCTGGCTGTACATCAGGATTATCCAGAAAGTTTTAAAGAATCTAAATTTCCAAGTCTCTCCCCTAAAGATTCTAATTCAGGACCTCTGAGGTAGAGTCCACAATTCTGTATTTTCAAAACATAGTAGTTTTTTTCTGATGCACTGCATGGGTAGAGAGTCACTTTTCTAGACATTTCATAGGAAACACCTGAATAGTTGGAATGGAAATATGTGTACAGCCATAAACCATAGAGCACTCAAACAAAATTATTCCAGAGGTAAAAGATGTTAGCATTATCACAGATATTTTTCTTGCATGGTTCAAAAATACTTCCGAAATGCTTTAATCGAGAATCTCAACTATTTTAGACTTCCCTCCCCCACCCCCAAATCAATAAGAAAACAAAAAAGTATAACTGTACTTGCTTTTGGATTATAAGCAAAGTATATATGAGATTATTGAGTCTTGGGAAAATGGAATCTGCAGTTACATCTTCATCGTAATAACAGCCACCATTTATTGAGCACTGTGCCAAGTGCCAGAGCTACTTTATCTCATGTAATCTGCACAATAACCCTACAAATAACTATTCTCATCTCCTTTTTATAAGTAAATGAGACTCAAAGAGATTAAGATTGTCATGTCCACTCAGCAGTTAATCAACATAGCTTCTATTTTCCACTAAAGGTGACTAATTGCCATGGCCACAGTTAGGTTTTGTTTTGTTTTATTCCTTTGTTTTATAATGTCAGTTCTGCAATTTAGAGTTTATTCTTTTATAGTAAAATGGTTATTTTGAAGCTGCCTGGGTATGAAAATGAGTCACGGGTGTATTTTCTGAGTAGAATCTTGTATCTTGAGTCACATTATATGATCCAAATACCATTCCACTTCCTATTTCCATTATGCCTCATCGCTTAATTCAAATGCCACCCTCATAAATAGTAGTTCCCATCATTTCCGAATCCTGAGATATTTTTCTTCATGGCACTTACCACAACCTTTACTTATCACTGCATTTTTTTTATTGTCTGCATGCCTCCTCATATGTAAGCCCCAAGAAGTGAAAGACTTTGTTTTGTTAATTGCAGTATTTCTAGTGCCTGGAATAGTACTTGGCACATTTCTAAGTGTTCCCAACTATTTTTCAAAGAAATGAATGAATAAGCATATATAAATCACTTGAACTGCCACATAAAAATTCTCCTGAAGTCATAATTACCTAAGGATATTTCAGTCGTTTCAACTAACAAATTCCTATTTGTGTTGAAGGCAGTGTGGGCAGAATTTTCTGTTACTTGTATCCAAAAGCATTTAACTGATGTACTCCCTAAGGCAGTTTGTCTTGGTAGACAATTGAATCAAGATGCTAAATAAATTCATTGATTAGAATAAAAAGTTTGTTTTTCGAAACTCATTTGCAAATGAAGAGGTGTTACTGAGCCTTAAGCCACTTCTACCTAACATTACCTCATATTTCCCACTCAGTGGGGTGGAATGTTCATAAGAGCAAGGATACCACTTAATTGTTCACATTTAAATTCCCAGGTTTCACCCGGAGTGGGTGTCCAAGTTATATTTGTTAAATTTCTGAAATCCAGTACAAGGTTTGGATCTGACCTCTTTCAATCTGGGATATAAACTTTTTAAGCTTCGGGTTCCTTATCTGAAAAATGGAAACAACAATACCTTGTTCACTGAGCTGTATAAGAATTAAATTGAAATATCTATGTAATGTATTTAACAGCGTGCCTAACATAACATAGTAAGCTTGAATAAACATCGATCAACGTTAACTGTGCTTGTTGCAGTGGGGGAACGTTTTCCTTTTTATCTTTTCTATGCTCTGTATTTCTGAAGCTCCACCTGGAGCACTGTTCCCTCTGACAAATAGTTTATAGAGCTTAAACCAAATAGCTCAGCTAATAATATCATTAATGAACGGGTTCTGATGTTTCCATTCTTTCCCATGTTTATGTCTTTGCTGATTAATAGAAATTGAAACTAAAGCAAATATCTTGCTTTAGGACAGTAGGAAACGCTTGCCATGAGAGTAAAGAGAGTTTGAATGTTTAATTACCCATTTGAGTTGTCTACACTAATCACTTCACTGGGTTCACAGCTCTCTACTTCGCATGTATGGATATATCCCAGGTGTTCTCATTAATTATATGTCACTTCCAAGATTTTAAGTGTTAGGGTGATACAATTAGAAGTAATACACAAGAGAAATTTCTCTAATTTTTGGTGTAAATTTTGTGTTGTAAAATACACTACTATAGTCACTTGCAAACACTAAAGTGTCAGTTGCATAAGATATGCAGTATATCCATGTGATGTGCCACTGAGCGGATGACTGAAGCTCAGAAGTGTAGTTGATCAAGGAGAATATTTATTGCAGGAGTGCTACACTTTCTACAACAAATGTACTCCTGAAAGGTTGTATGTAAATCAAATGACTGTAAATTGAATAATTTAAAAGGCATTAGGGGAACTTTTTACTTAAATAAATCCCCTTGTCACTCTTCAAAGTTAAGAATCCCTTTGTAATGCAAAATATTTATCTTTTGTTTTAACATTGATTCTTTACATATTAAGTTTGTTTAAAGTATACCTGTACTAGAGAAAAAACAGTTACCGATTCAGGGCTGCTGTACATACTGTTCTCTCTGCTTCAAGTTTTGTAACTGTTTTGTCAGGAATTGGGCACAAGAGTACTGGGCTACGGATTCTTTCAGCCTAGTGGATTCTCACATCCTGGAGAGTCTAATAGTCTGGGTTGTCCAAGAGCACACTTTTCTGTTTATGCTAATTTATTCCAGTTTACAATACAAAGATTTTCTATTTAAAAAGGTCACAAAACACAGTTCTAAAATTCATCTAGTAGCAGTTTTTTCTATCTTAAAAGCTTTCCTGATCTCCACTGCTATTCTTTTCAGACACTGTTCTTTTCTTTACAACGTTTATAAAAATGTGTAATTACAAATCACCTGTGTACTTCCTCATTCTACTATACACATCAACAGTGTCAGTTTTGCTCACCACTGTTTACTCAATTCCTAGCACGTTGTCCGGCATATGATAAGTACCTAATATGGCTGAGGGAATTAATGAGTAAGAAAATTAATAAGTGGATAGAAGTTAGCCAACTCCCATTTACTTAGAGTATTTTAGAAATGTCCCTAACTGATCTAGTTCTGAGCTATCTCTCCAACCTCCTTCCACTCTCCATCTTTTTCAATCTGCTTCAACCACACTGGCTTCTTGGTGATCCTTGAACATGCTAATCACTTGCCCTTTCCTCCACGTGGAGTGCTCTTTCTGTACTAACATGACTTAATCCTTCTGATCTTTGGGGTCTCTATCCAAACATACTTCCTCTGAGAGGACTCCCTATCCAAAATAGCAGCTCCCAAAATGCCCTCTTACACTCTTGTCTCCATTGCTCTCACCACCGAACTGTATGTATCTATTTGGGTATTTATCAACTGTCTCAGAGCCTAAATGTAGGGTCCAGAAGGTCAGGGACATTGCCTGTCTTATTCACTGTAGTATGAATAAGAACCATGAAGGGCACAGAGAAGATACTGGATAAATTGTTTTGACAGAAGGAAGAAATGCCTTCTCTCTTTTCTTTTCTTCTCTTTTTCTTTCTGTTTTGCTGTTGTTACATTATTTCCAAATCATAGCTTGTGACAATAAAAATTTAACCTTATGTAACTGTACAAAGTGCTTTTATCACAATATCTCCATTTTCACTTATTTGTGTGTTTAAATTACATTGTCCTATATCATAGAATTTGTCTTCAGTGACCTGAGAAGTGTGAAGAAATTGGAATCATATTCTCATCACCTGTAGCCCAGTACTGAACATAGTTGTTGAATTTTGTACCAACTCACTTTGCCTTTCAGGAATGTTGATAGCCATTCTATAATATGGGGAAACTATTCTAAGCCTATGTTAGGAAATTTCATTGTTTTGGAATGATTATATTTTATAATCAACATTTTCATATAAATTAATTTTGGAATTATTTATAATAATGTCACCTTTTGGACTTCTTAGGTATTTGACTATGATTTTGGACTACAAGATGACTTTATGGGTTCAGCCTTTCTGGATCTCACACAATTGGAGTTAAACAGGTAACTTTTGAACTGTTATAATATCACTACACCTTGTTATAAAGCTGGGCCAGTGTAATAGAAAGTGTCAGCAGATCTGAGTTCCAATCACTGTTCTGTGATGTGTGGTCATGAGCTCTCATGCTAGCCAGGCTTTCTCAAGTACATCTTTCTCATCTGCCCAATGGCAATAATAGCATCTTCCCTGACTACCTCATTTGACAGCAACTATTCAACAGAAAAATTCTTGGGTGTCTGCTTTGTCCCTCAGCACAGTGCTAAGCACTAGGAATCTAGAGCTAAAAGACACATTCCTTGCTCTCACATTCCTTGCTTATACAGTTATAGTGGGGCATAAAGAAAAATTATGCCTGTTGATCATAATTATTAATTTAAGAATCAGACCACCATATAGAGAATAAAACATGTGTACTTTGCTTCTAAAACAGCAACTCTCTTATCACTTAAGCCAAGTAAAGTCTAATTTTGCCATCACCAGTAATCCCAGGTTACCAAGGAGCACCCCTAAAGTGGAGGCAGATTGGCTGTGCTTGCTCAGTTACTTTAGTTTACCATTGCTTGACTAGCTGTAAAGTTATATTATTTTACTAATATTAATCATTCCTTGGACCTAGTTAGGGGCTTACATTTTTAAAAATGCATTACTATATGGGAGCTAACACTACAGGAGATCAATACTATAGAAGAAAAAAATTGATTCAAAAGGGATCAAGCAGTGCTGGAATGGGTCACAAAGGTAGCTGTGAAGTCTCTGATGAGTTAAGGAGAAGGAATTCCTGTCTGCATTAGGTGATCATGCTTTATCATGTGACAGGAATAACGGAAAGCAAGAAAGCAGAGTAATGGGCCAGATCACTACTCTATATTTCTGTAAATGTAGATGAGTAGAGAAATATAAATAGCAGAACCCCCTTATGTCTTATAGTCAGCTAAGTGTGAGCACAGCGGCAGCTTATTGGTCTTCCAATGGTCATTTTTGCTTCAAACTGGCCAAAAGAGGGGCCTTGTCTGTACTTCCTACGAGTTCTTCATTGCAACCTAAAGTGTAGCACAGGGTTGACCTGAAGGTAGAATACAGGTGATAGCTGGCTCCCCATCTCACTACAGTTGAAAGAAGTGTCCTATATGGGATTATATGTAGTCCATTATCATAAAAACTGAGCTTCAACTAGAATGGATTGTGCCGTTTTTCTATAAAGCCCACATTATTTTCTCTGCAGACTTCTGTATAATGATATGCAAATTATCGGACTTAATTACAAAGTATAAATTTCTCTTTTCTATTAAAGATAAATCATTGTGAAAAATAATTTTAAATTAAAAATATATATGATGATTAAGAAAATAAAAAGATAACAAAAATCATTTGATGTCGATTTTGTCACAATACTTATTTTAGATATTTATAGCTAATCATTCCCTTCCCTCAAAACCACTTTTTAAAATCACGTGCCAGTTTTTAAAATCACATATCTGTGTATGCCATTACATTCCATGTATAAATCAGTAGTCTCTGGATGTAGAAATACAATAATATTATATTATATCATGTATTAATGTAATATTATAACACAATATTATATTATATTACATTTTAATATAACATTTAATATAGAATTAACTTATTACATTATAATAATAGTAGCAATGTAAATATTTATGCTACTGTGTAACCCATTAAAGTATCTCTTTGAAGGAAAATAAGTAGGCATAAAGCAATTGCAAATATTCTTAAATCTTTATCAGGTAATCATTATAAAAATGTAATGAAGTTTTTCCTATTACTTTTCCTTTTAATCATTACAAGAAAAATCACACACAAACACACATTATAATGCTTAACATGTATTTGTTAAAATAAAAGGAACTAGTTTTTAGTATCCAACCATAATGATTCATTATAACCAAAATAACATTGGAACAATTTGTATCATAATTATTATAACACATAAATCATCTAACAGATTATTTATGTTTCAGTTAAAGTCCCTGACATAAGAAAACTTCATATTCTTCATAACATCATTCCCTGACTTGGCAAATTAAGCATCATATGAAAGTTTCCTAGTATTATAATATCCTAGTTTAAAAAAGTACCTAGGGTTCTCAAAAGTACCTAAGGTTATATGAGAAAATCATTTGAGAAACTTTATAAATATGTGCATTTCCAGGCCCCACCCTGATTGATCTACAGAACCAGAGGCATGATGGCTGGAATTCAGGAATACGTACTTTTTTAAAGCTTCCCAGTTGATTCTGATGTGTAGCCAGAATAAAAAATTCTTACTTGGACCAGTTTTCCTCCACAAAAGCCTCTTCCTAGTACTAGACTCCAACTGTATCATTTACTAAAAGTTTAGCTCAGTGAAGACCAGGATCTTATCTTTTGTCTTGACCTCTGGTTTTTACCCAGAACCTAGCACAGTGTGGCATTTAATATATCCTTAATATGTGTTGTGTGAATGAAATGAATGAGCAAGTGAATGAACAAGCCAAGGGAACATACCTAATTTGCCAAAATTTCAAGATTCAAGTTTGGTGCCGAAGTTTTCATAGTCCCTTAGGTTTGTTATAGGCATGAACTCCTATTTGTTCAATATTAATTAAAATATGGAAATAAGATAGCACCTATGCATTGTCAGTTGAAAGCGTATTTCGCTTATTTTCTAATGGGTAATATTGACTAATTCATAATGTCTTAGAGATACTTAGCTAATTCTGATGTCTTCTAAGTGTTGATCAACTCTTCTAAAGATTGATTTCCTTGTGTTTCTGAATCTAAAAATTGTTCAGGCATAGGTTTAACAACCCAAAAGTAGAAGCATTGTTTTAAAAATTGAAATTTCTTGTAATTAAATAATTATACATTGTTTTTAAAGTATGTCTATAATGTATATCAGGCAAATTGTGTTTTATATCCTCTTCACTCACTCATTTGTTTATTCTATATCATACTCCTGAGTTTAAAAAATCCTAGTGAAGTAAAAGGAAGATAGTGGTCAATAAGTGACCCTGTTTTGTTATTGGACTCAAATTTGTAGAAAATAGTTGGAATTGCTTTCTATGTATTTAGAAGGGACTTACTTATAGGTTTCTCAATACTGTTGTAGTTTCTTGGCCTTTCCAGCAACCCCATGGCCTTTCTAGAACCTCACGAAGGACTGAAACCTATCCAGTGAATCCATCCAAGTATACCTACCCACTTGGCCCACAACTTATTGGATAACTTAATACATAGATGATACTTTAATAACAAAAAAATGTGGCAGGAAAAGGAAGACAAAATTGTTGATATAAAATATATTTTTGGCTTATTCATTGAATGACTGTTTAAGATCTTAGTATTTTATATTACAGGCCCATGGATGTGACTCTAACACTGAAAGATCCCCATTATCCTGACCATGATCTTGGAGTCATTTTGCTCTCAGTGGTCCTTACCCCTAAGGAAGGAGAACACAAGGATGTGGTAAGTCTCTCCCTCCCTCCCACAGGACTGCTTTCTTGCTCTTAAACTCGCTCTCAGCTGTTCATTCAAACATTGTTTGAATGTCATGAGCCTTTTCTTAACCCAGAGATAATAATAAGAGAAACAGCATATGAAAATCTTCCCTGTTCTTTGTTTCTGTGAGTATCCTGGGTATCACTAGTTCCTCTGTATTGTATCTTTTGAACTCAAAGTTCCTGTCTATGCTCCAGATCAGAACCTCTTGTTGTAAATAAGGGACACATTTGCTTTTTATTATAATTTTATTTCCCGATTTCACATGTTATATTGAGGACAAATAGTGGTATTCATTCAGGAAATACATTTATTAGTGAATTGAGTATCTGGAATTCTACATTGAGGGATCCAGATCTTACTATTTTGACTATATTGTCAGGTGTACCATAACAAAGAAAATGATGTGAAATTATAACAGAGTTTCTGCTTTCTGGTATTTGTTTGCTGAATGAGTGAGTACTTTTCATCTTTTTGATGGGCTGCCATATCGATGTTACCCATTTTCCAGCACTGGCTGTCTATACTTCCTTGCACACCATGCTGCTATGAGAAACTGACAAGGATACAGAGGAGCCGATTACTACAGCACTGTTGAAGGGATATTAAAAAATATCAGGTTTGACCAACATCGGTATGCTAGCCAGTGCACTTTCTGCTACAATTTACCAGAGATTATTTGTTAGACTCAATGTGCTTTCTTGTACTGGGAGCTACTCTCACTAGTTCTGATTGTAACACATTTTAGGACTAGACTTAATTTTTTAGGCAAGTTCAGATACTTTATTTCAGCAATGTGTCTTAAAATAATGCACGATTAAAGTTGGTGCATATTGTCTGCTGAAAAGGTATTATTGACATTTTTCTCTAGACTGTAGTAAAAATAATGAATTTCATTTTCAAAGTTGAGTTTTAAACTCATTGAAAATTTCACCCTTTTCAATCTTTTAAAAAATGAAACAATGAGCACATATATCCATATATAATATTTAAGTATGACTTAAGTATCCTTAACTTCAGTGAGGAAGAAATTTCTCTTTTCCAACAAGTATTACCAAGTAATACCTACTGTGAGAACTTAGCACGATGGAAGAACATATATATACGCATATATGCACAGGCCCATGTGTTCAGACAGAAGGGTGGGTGAGGACATATTTTTTACAGAGAATATTTAATAATGAAAGCCCATCATTTCAAAAATCACCAGTTCAGAATACATGATTTCATGAAGCAAAAGCCAAGAAGTATATCCTAGCTGCCTAATACATACATAGGAATTAATTATAAATGTTTGTTTGTTGCTTTATTTAAATAATCCTGGTATTCAACAAGAACCTACTGTATGCCAGATCCTGTGCTAGACCCTTAGGATATAATAGAACTTATATCCAGTGGAGAACTCGAGAATCAAGTAATTACTGAAGGAAATGTATAATGACAACTGTTTTAAGCGCCGTGAGAGAGGGATAAATATTGCTGTAAGAGCAAATATAGGAGGATTTGTCCTAGTCAAGGGGACAGGGATTATCTAAGGAAGTCAAATGAGAGCTGGGGTCTGAAGTGTGAATAGGACTTAATACGGCAAAAAAAACAGGAAGAGAGGAAGTATTTCAAGCAGAGTAAACAACACATTCAAAGACCCTGTAGCTAGAGGAACCAAGCTGCATTTCAGGAATTTAAAAAGTGTTAAAACTAGAGAAGGTGAAAGCAAGTGAGTGTGGGAGATCATGGTGCATGATGACAGAGCAGAAAGGAGATGACCACACTGAGTAGGGATCATTGGCCACGTTAAGGTTTGTGGTCTTCCCCCAAAGAGCAGTGGCGAGCTAGTGGAAGTCTATAAATAGGAAGTGGCATAATCACAGTTGTTTTTCAAAAATAGCTCTGTAGCTCCATTGTAGAAAATAGATGGAAGAGTTAGAATGAATGCTTGGAAACCAATTAGGAGGCTATTACAAAAATCCAAGTGGAATATGGTAGAAATTTAGATTAGAACTGTCAGAGATAGAAATGGAGAGAAATCAGCAGGTTTACCTATAGGAAGAAAAATCTACAAAACTTGGTGGTGGAATATTTTTGCTTTGGGAGTCTTTATTATTTTAATGAAGGGTAGCACTTCATAAACAAAAAATACCTAAGTGTTTGAGGTCTTGTATATCCCCAAACCATGTATACTGGCAATATTGCTAGAGATTGGAATGATATGGCAGCTGTAGTTATTTGGGTGATTTGATGATGGAGGGTGTACTGAATTTTTACATTAAAGGGATATTTATTAAGTACTCTAAAATCAAGCTGAGGGTTTCAGGGATCAAATTAGTATCAAGTGGTCTTATGATGGAGCTACTAAGTTGTTCTAAATTTCACAGAGGTATATGTCAGCACAGGCAAAGAAGTTCTCCACACAGTTTTTTCTTCAACGATTTTTGTAAAACATCCTTCAATCTCCATAGCTGCTCAAACTTATTATTTAGGCACAATATCTTTCTAATTTTAAAAAAATCATTTAAAAATAATGCCTGGTTGTTGATCATCAGTGATTTATCAAATATGAATAGGGAAGAAAATGCACAGATTACATGAAACAGTTATACATTAAAAATCTGGTATCGTTCATCTTCTTTTCTTCTTTTTCCTTTCTCCTCATCCTATTTCTCCAGCTACGTTCACCCTTAACACAGAGTTCTTCCTGAAATTCTTATGCCGTTTTCTTGACTTGAAACCCTTTGGTTTTTGGAAGAAATCATTTACTAACAAGTATTATTCATTTACTGCCTTATTTCATGCCCTTCTCCTTCAGAGTCCCAAATAGCCCTGGATTTATTCTGTGGCAACTGAAAAACGATGTCTTTTTCCCTCTCATACTAATGCAGACTCTCACTTGTCTTTTCTCTGCATCGGAGAAGCACTTGGCTTAGCCAGGGCTCAGTGCCTCAGAAAAGACACAACACTTTCAGCCTGTACCAGTCAGCCTCTGGCTGGTGAACTCGCCTGACCTCAGCCACACCTGAGGAACAGAGAGGAGGATGACTAGTGTGTCTATACTGGTTCCTCCTTGTGGATGCGGTCAATAACCAATAACCAGGAACATGGGGTCGGTTATAGAGAAAGGAGCTTGGTCAAGGGGTGGGGAGGAAGGATAAAATATCCCTGGTAGGAAGTTCCCAAGTATCCTAGCTAGTCTGGTTTCCTAGATTTGGAGACGGTATTCTAAGCATATGCTTTACATTATGAAAATTTTTAACGAATCGTATAAACTTGTTTTCCCCTCTTCGTTTGTTTTGGTCTATGTAACAGTTCTATAGCTATTTTATTAAAATCTCTAAAACTGTAGGCATCTGTTTAAAAAAACACTTATTGATCATCTACTAAGCATTGTACTAGATCCTATAACTTCCTCTTTATTTTTTTTCTAAGTGTTCGGCAACCTCTGGTTAAATGGAAACGTCCTGATGAGGGACTTTAAGGCTCTCCAGTGAGCAACATGTGTTCCCTTGCTTGTAACCTCTGTCTCAACCATACAAACTCCTGCTAAGTTCACTTCTCTCAAGTCTAAGCTTCTTCAGTGTCACATGTCCTACCCCAAATATGCCTGTACTATACTTTCCTTCACCTCCACCATATATCTTATCGCTCCTGGTTAAAAATACTGCATGTATACGTTATTGCTTCTGATTACTTTTCTTATGATGACCTCTCAAAACCTAGTCCAGCTTTCTGTACCTAGTGGTTATTCGGTGGGTTGCAGACAGATATCTATGAGGATTTGATGGGATGCTTCAAAGGTGCAGGGAAAGGTATTTTAAGTTTTTATTTTTCTTCAATATTTAAATCCCTGAGATTGTCACAAAAAAATTAAATAATAATTTAATTATTTTCCTTTTAAGTTCTTAAAATTAGTATCTTAATGAAATTAGTCTATTGCTCATCTCAAGATTTCTAATGACAACAATGAAGTAGAAGCGGGTCACTGTATTTTCTTCATTTTGTAACATGTCTAGTGTTAGCTAAGTATATTTCTCTGGAATACATTTGAAGTTTCTTGGTTAAAAACAATGAGATATTAGTGTATCTTCAAATTAATTTTTTCTATGCCTGAAATACATAATATATTGCTGCAGTAAAAATGACATGCTGAATTTTTACAAATTATCCACAAACAAATCTTAGAGAAATTCCAGCTCAAAATGCAGCAAACCAGGAAATCGGTTACTAAATACTTCACAATTCCTTTTAATATCCTGAATAGTGTATAGGGAAGAAATAGAGGATGATTTTGCATTGACTTTCACACAGCAAAATTATAATTCTGTTCTCTTTGATTATTAGCTCAGAAATAATCGATTTAAGCTTTTGAGACAAAACTTTAGTTTAAAAATCACGTTTATTCTTATCTGTGTTTATAAAACTTTCCTAAATATTTTCTGTATATCAAAATGGAGAATGCAATATGAGTTTCAAGAGCCATTAACAAATAAATCCTAATAATCAAATAGGAAATAAAGCATTAATATTAAGAAAATGCTATCAGAGGTAGGAAGAAATGAATAACGGGAAATACAGAGGACTTAGCATCACAAAGTGCTGGGATTTCCAAATCAGTTATCTTGTAGATTTTTATACACTGTTAATACTGACAACATATTCCATGAATAATGCAGTTGGGGTAATTTCTACTTGTGTGGATTGCCAGTTCTGGAAATCAGTAAAACTGAAAAATGAGTTGAAAAACCTATCAGCCTACTGAATCTCCTTAAGCCTCTAAAACATGCCATGTCTAATTACAGCAATTTAAGAGTATTGTATGAGTAATAAGCCAAAGTATTTCATAGTTGCTTATATTAAAATCTCCACTTAGTTCATGATTGAGTCTTTTAAAAAAATTCTAGATGTGAACAGATTATATATATTTCTTTATTTTTTTAAGTTTCAGCATTGTGTGTACAAGAAGCCAAAATCTTCATGAGGGGCATGCTGATGAATTGCATGACATAACTGTCATTTCTGTTTTGAATGCATGTTCTGTTTCTGAAACTGCAAAAGTGTGTGGTGCATATATGTGTGTCCTGTATGTGGTATTTTAGTCTGATAGTGTGTTTGAGTTCTTTCTGGCTCTTTTTCTAGCAGAGTTCAATCCACAACTTTCTTCATTGGAGAATTTGTGAAATAAAAGTGAGTTAATTTGTGTTACTCACTCTCTTAGATTACCTAGAACTACAGATTGCTTGGCTAAAGCTGAAAAATAGAAAACTCTAAGAAACATATGAGTTAACCCTAGTTGGTCTTTAATGAATTAAAAAAATATTTTTCCATGTTGGTTTATTTTTGAAATTTTTCTGAATTATTCTGTAAATAACATTTGGAAAAAAGTTCACCTGTAAAAAATATATATATATGCTTTATTGTATGTACTATAATGTCTATCCATTCTGTGATTTTTTATATTTATAGTAGCCATGTGATTGCCTTAAAAATCACTACAATGAAAGATAAAAGCAAAAAATGGATCAAGTTATAGAATCTTTTAAAAATATGATCAGTTTTGCAGCTCTATCAAGGCCATATTTTATTTTACTTACTTTTTATTGCCTTCAAAGAAAGTTGAGCTGCTAATGAAGGATTTGAATTTTACTATAATAATATTAGATAATGACACTTTCAAAAACAAATTCATATGTTTCTCTGCTGAAGTTAAATTATAGTGCAAAACATAAATCTTATTTTTCTATAATTTGCTTCACCTCCTATCTTTAACATTCCCCAAACAATCTTTCTTCTCTAACATGTCTCACGACAAAAGTAACAGTATTAATAGTATGTCTGTTAAATTCTTTTCTACTCTTTTCAGTGTTATTGAATATATACCTTAACCTAACCATCTGAAAAGAAAACAAGAGTAGGGAGTGGGATACTTAAAGCCATAGTTTAGCTACTTGTCTTGACTCAAGAAGCCCAAATTTTGTTATAAAATCTAGGGTCACTTTGAGAGTTACTGGATCTAATAATAGAACTGAAGACACTGAATCCAGAAAATAATGAATTGGTTTCCCAAATGGACAAATCTTTCATATTTAGACTTAAGGAAAATACTGACTTGTTTGTATCAGTGTCCCGATCTGAAAAATAATACCAGACAGCCAGTTTGTAAAGCCAATTTTGAGAGCCAGGAAAAATGCCAACTCTATAGTTTGCTTTACATATAAAAGGCTAATTGTATGCAGTGGTTCTGAGACAGGAGATATAGTTTGGCAGTAGTGAATCTGCATAATGTTGAGTGATATTGCCCTAGATTCAACTCTTCCTCATGTTCTTAGCCTCTTTTCTATGCTATAACATATCTCACAGATATAGAATTTTCTAAGGTTCTTAGATCCTAGATGATGATGGTAAATGACCATGACTTAAGAGATTTTACTTTTTGATTTATTTAGTTGATTTGACTCAAAACATTGTCTCTAGGAATTATCATTCTTAGTCTATTAAAACTCTCTTTCTGAGAGTTGAACATTTATTTTCTGACTATTTTATGGAGCATTGTGTATATGGCATACCACAGAAGTATTTGGTTTTCAATTGCCTTTTAGTGATGATGGAGAAAATAGTGGTGGTGATGATGATGATGATGATGCTGATGACAATAACTCATTTAACTTAAACAACAAACATTTATTACATATTCACTACATGTCCATCTCCACAACCCAATGGTGGGTTTTGTTGCTTTAAAATGAACTGGATGTTAGTACTTAGAAAACATATAAAATGTTTCTATAATAGTATTCCATAACACTGCTTTGCAGTTTCCTGGCTCCATCTGGGGAAAAAAATAAAGAAAGAAAGAATTATTCTAACTTAGGAAATCTATTACTGTTCAATATTTTGGTCAACATTTAACACAGAATGTATTTAGGGAAAATATAAACTGTAAAATGACTACAGAAAAGAGGAATGTATCCTTATTTTTGACAATTTTATGATTTTCTCATTTTCTACTCTAGAACCTCTGCATAATTTCCTTGTCCTGGTGTAGGCCAAAGGTTGTCTTCTATGTGACTTAATCTTATATTAAAATCTTTTTCGCATTTTTTGTAATTTATGAGTGGTTTCCGAAATGGTCCTACTTTATAGTGAATTCTGCTGAAGGTGATATAGTTCTTCAAGGCACCAGTGCACTTCTTTTGTATACAAGTATGCCAAGCATGTCTACAAGCTATATTCTTAGTTCCAAATATTCCCTATTGTTCACTTCATTTGTCTTAAAGATAATTATAAAGCTAAGAGAGGGTAAAGCGGTTAATCAGAAAGTTAATATCTCAGTTTTCATTAAGTAGTTTTTAAAACTGGAGAGGAAATAAATCTTTGGATTTTTATCATTAACTTTTTGCAAAAGACCAATGATCTTGGGCACTCATCACAAGTCTCTATAACCTTAATTAAAACTTGCAGCCATAATACCCCTTACTATGACATAAAAAAAACAAAAAAACAAAAAAAACCAAAACTAGTTTAACGGCCATGTTATGGCTAAACATTTAGCAAGAAGATCTACTAATAGCCATCACAATATACAGCATTTTTTCTCCATTTAAAGCATTTGCAGATTCTGATGTAATTAATGATTAACTGTAAGCAGAGACAATTCTAAGATCCCATTAAAGCAACGCACTTAGAATGTGTTTGAAGAGAAAAATTATTATATACCTGGTAAAATCATGGTTCATCCTCAACCTCCACCAAAAAGGAACAGTCACCAGTCATGAGATTCAATGTGTTTTTTTCCAGTTAATAATTAAGATATTTTATATTGTCCATTCTGTTTAAAATATACTGTTCCATTTCTTTGTACAAAAGAATAAAACAAATGAACTCTCACCAGAAAGACTGCTTGAATGTTAAAGGTGCTTCTTCTAGCTGTGCATCCGTGAAAAACAATTTTTGTCTTGTATAGTTGTTGCTAGAAATGTTTGCTGTTTAAATGTTAAGCTTCCTCTAGAAACCAATTGGCTGCCCTGCTCTGTACTTGAGTGATAAGATAATGAAAATGCTTTATTTCATTTACAGACAATGCTAATGAGGAAGAGTTGGAAAAGATCAAGTAAGGTAATTCTTAGCATGTGATCTTTCAGCTTTTCTTGTTGAGAACTATCAATCGGCTGCTTTCCCAAATTTCTCTCATACCTCTTCAAACTATACCACAGGATTTCATCACTCTTCAATTGTTATTTATTTTTTCCCATACACTTTAAGCAAACCATGTGATGCTTTTTTAGTAAGTAGAAATCACACCGATCAGTTGCACCCAAATCATCCTCTTGCTAATCTCTGGTCACTTCTCAGCATCATTCTCAGCATCTGATTTCTGTTATCTCTACCACAGGGTCTAGAAAATGTCTTTGCTCTGAATCAGGAATAAAATGATGAGGCAAGGATAGGGACAACTCCAGAGAGACAGAAGATCCATGTAATTTACTGTTTCTGTTCACTGAAAATTGAGTCTAAGGTTTCCTAAACTCAAAAATCTCTGTATTGCTACATCTTTGGAGTGTATAATGAGAACAGTTTTCCATCATTGCCTCTTCTCACTTCAAGAAATAAACAGCTTCTGGAAATGAGAGGAGTTTATAGTTCCTGTGACTTATTAAGCCCTGGCTCTTAAAATTTGTAAAATATATAAGATATAAACTAAGCTTCTAATTTGTTCAGTGGTGGAACCACTCTTGGACACAAATAAATATCAGGATGAAATTGATTTTTACATGAATACTTCTTGAAATAAGTCAAAGGGAGTTTATTTGTAAAAATCTTGTTTGCTCAAATTTCTATTTTAAAAGTCAGTATTCCTTTTTAATAGTGACTAATTTTTTTAGACCCTGGAACATGACAATCTTTTTTCTTCCATTCTGATTGAATCTCATGCTATTAAATTTTTCTTTAATTTTGTCATTTTTATTGTGAATTAAAAAAATATTTATATCAAGATGTTTTGTATTTATGATAATGTCTTAATTTGCTTTAACAAGTTTTTATAACTGCACATTTTCTTCCTAATTCTTGTAGAATTAATGAACAAAAATATTATTTGGTTTACAAAAAGGTCAGGGCCATATTAAAAATCACTTTTTCATTTTAATAAAATCTAAAACATTTAAAGAAAGTTGCCGAATCCTCCTGAATTAGTGTTCACTGTGTTTTTTTTACTGACCAAAGTAAAGTTTCAAGAAGTCTTAAATGTTTGCACTGTTCATATTTGTATTACACTTTTTCTTTGTAATTGTACTTCAAAATTAGTGTTATATTAAAAGTATATATTTTAAAAAATTTATGTTATTTGGCTTTCTTCAATCTTTCTATATTATGATATATCTGAACAAAAACATTATAATTCATTAAAATGTAACACTATTCTCTCTTCTGAATGTGGTTAAGACATAATGCTAGAGCAGAATATTATATACTATTTAGTATTAATTAGTGCAAATGATCCATTTTATTGTAGTATAAAAGACAGAATAAATATAAAGATGCTATAAATAATTTATTTAATTTATATTTAAATTTAATTCTGATGATAAATTAAGTAAACATAAATTCACTTCTTTTTCCTTTGGTCTACAAAAATAATTAGTAAGAAACATCTATTCTCCACTACTTTTATATCTAAAATTCTTTGAGTTTTCATTTATTATTAATAATCCATTAGTACATTAAGACTGGTACATTTTTCTAGCTTGCCATTAAAGATACAAAATTTTCTGTATCTAACTTTGCATTCATTGGGTTACTTGGCAGATTATTTTTAGTGTGTATGGGATTATGGCTTGTGGGGTTTTAGCCTAAGAGATTTTAAATTTTATAACATTTAGTGGGATAGTGAATGCTGAGTAAAGGAAAATTAGTTCACTCATTTGTTTTCTTCTATGAGAACATATTAAACCGTTGATAATTCATTAAAATTTTCACTGTCCCCTAAAACATCTGCTATATTTGTCCATATTCATGTTATAAGAGCAGAATGTTAAATTCAAAATCTAAGGAAAGTTTGAAATTTCAGTTACCATCTAGTCTGCCATCCTTCACACACTGAAACAGCTCCCACAATTTTTTTCTCCAGAGATGAAAGGAGAAAGGATGATGTTCAAGTACAATAGTCTCCCCTTATCTGTGGTTTCGCTTTCCACAGTTTCAGTTACCTGTGTTTAATCACAGTTGGAAAATATTAAATAGAAAATTCCATAAATAAACAATTTATAAATTTTAAATTGTGTACCATTCTGAGTAGCCTGATGACTTCTTGAACCATCTCATTCCATCCTGCCTGGGATTTGAATCACCCCTTTGTCCAGCGCCTCCATGCCATATATAGGCTCCCAGCCTGTTATTCACTTAGTAGCCATGTTGGTTATCAGGTTATCAGATCAGATATCACAGAGGGAGAGAGAGGTCAGGAGAGAGACAGACAGAGAGACAGTGACAGAGACAGAGACAGAGAGACAGAGGGGGAGAAGGAAGGGATGGGAGATGGAGAGTGGACAGGAAAGGGAAGGAGGCTAGGGGAGGAAGGAAGGAGACAGGAGAGAGAGAGAGGCCACATTCATATAACTTTTATTATAATATTTTATAATTGTTCTATTTTATCATTATTATTAATCTCTTACTGTACCTAATTTATAAATTATGCTTTATCATAGGTATGTATGTATGAGGAAAAACATAGATAGAGTTTGGTACTGTTCATGATTTCCAGGATCCTCTGGGGGCTTAGAACTAATCTCCCCCAAAGATAAGGGGGGGACTACTGTAAATTGTGCTTTCTGAAAAACTAAGAGAGAAGTGACTATACTGTATAGTTTTGTTATTATTTACTATGTTACTGTTTTGCGGAAATGCATCCCTTTTCTAATTATTTCACTCTTCCCCTTAAAGATTCGTGTGTGAGTAAGGATTTTTCCTCTTTTATTTTTGGAAAGAGGATATAATTCATTTGTATTACATTTAATTACAGGTATTTTAAATTTGCTATAACTATGCTCAAAGTCAAAGGTGAACTTTTCTAATAAATAGGTCATTTTTTTTTCCTTTGGGTTCTTGATTTATGAGAATGAGGTCCTTCGCTTTTTTATATCAGGGCTTTGATATGCAGCTTGTCTTTGAGCAACAATGGTAGTTGTTAAATCTGAGAATGATAAACTTTGTGACAAAGACTTATATATAGTCAGATAATGTTGTTAGATATTTTCTCCAGTGTGGAGTTTTTCTAACTTTCCTTGTATTTTTTTCAGAAGTGGTATAACCATGGAGGGGGGGAAAGCGAAATTGGCATTGTTATGTTTTTAATATGCACATTTTCCCTGCAAACAAGTGAATCAGCTCGTAGAAGTTCTCATTACTTAAATATCTGCTTGTCATTTTTTCAATGAAAATATTATTCGTGGCACTCACATAACATGGGGTTGTATTTACTATTGAAAATAAGAGATTTAAGGGATAAATAGCCAACTTGACAGGGAAATTGTAATTGTTCAGGACTGACTTATATATTATTAGGAGGAAGTGTGTTACCATCAAATAACAAGCAAGAAAAAAATACACCAAGTTTACCTCTGAAAAACAAGAATGTATAAAATATGTGCTATGTTTAATGATACGTTAACCAGTAGATAGCTATGATTCCATAATATCTGCTCTTCTGGGATTGATAACATTTAAAACACTAATTCTGGTTTTTCTATCAGCACAGTTTTCATCATGCATATTTTTAATTCTGCCCCACATTCAGCTGTTATAGAAAAATGTTATTTTAAGAAGAGAAAGATCAGTGTCTCCCTAAACTTGTGCAACTGGATAATTATCCTGGTCAAAGAGTTTTACTTATGTGACAAAATGCATTTTGACAGAAATGGTAATACTTTGAGTTATATCAATATTTTACTCTTTAGAAGAAGCTTATCATTGATAATTTATTCTGATATTAAATTATTCAACGAGAAAATTTTATGAGCTCAGAAGAGAAGATGTATATGTATTTTGTGAATTTTGTATTTTGGGGTCAAACAAAAAATGGAAAAAATAATGAAATAATTATCTCTATCCGATGGTGAACAGAAATTATTTTACACTACGTTGTGTGTGTTGTGTATGTGTATTTTAATGTAGAAAAATGAGTATCAATGAATGTGATACTAATAAACTTATATGCTTTCAATAAATCACTTTAATTTTATGAGAAATAACCATTGTGATAATATAAAGATATACAAGTTGCAGTTTATATTCTAAACAATAACAGTTTAGAATTGTTTTAAGAAGAGTTCATCCTTTGAATAATATAATATAGACTATGTGATGATGTCTCATTAGCATATCTTCTGTTACTTGATGCCTTATTGTTTTTTAGTAACATCTTTTTTTATAAAGATTTTATTTTAATCACTTAGAATAATTTAAATGAACTATAAAACACTTTACTCACTGGTTGAATGAAGCAATTTTTAACAAGACTTTTTTGGCAAGGATATTGTTAGTTTAAACTAGAGAGCATTTTCAGCTCTTAGTCTGAAGGGCATAGTTAAACTTGACACCTTGGATGACATATTAAAAATGCGTCAATGAAAACCTCTAAGTGCTTTAATTTAAGAAATGGTAGAGAAACAATTTAATACATTTTTAAGTATCTTACACAGTCAGTCAGACATAGAAAAAAAAAGTCATTATTTAACAATTATCAGATCCTTTCTGCAAAGACTTCTTTTCCTGTTAATAAATAGGTGATATTTTAAAAACTGCAGAGAATGAAAAGTTTCTTAGTCATTGACCGTCTCAACTGTGAGTGACCAAAATGACTTCTCTTTGGCATCTCATTTCAAATTATTATACATATATCTTTGAAAAACTGAGATGCTTACATGGTTTTGAAGGAAATACAAAATTCTTTTAAAAATCCTTACTTTACTGCTATTTATACTCCCAAATCTGTGTTATTTTAAAATGCTATAAAGTCAACCTCATAATTAAGGCTTCTGAGAGTTGGAAGTATGGCAATGAACCAAGGGCAAATAACATGTACATTTCTATTATGAAAGGACTGTATTTGTAACCTCAATTGCCTAAACTCTTAAAATTTGTAGGAAGTTGATTTAAAATAGAAATATCATAATACCAATAAATATTTGACCGTCCCCACAAAAATACATGGAGCCATAGTTAATATTTTATATTGAAAGGATTTTTTCTTGGTATGTTGACAAAATTTCCCCATAGATATAAAATATACATTTTTATGCATTATAATTCATAACTACAGGGTTTTGCTGTAACAATGGCATTACATTTATTTGACCACTCTTGCTGAATTTTTAAAATGTTGTGGACCCTTCAGGGAGTAAATCTGTATGAACTGGCACAAAGCGAAAAGGACAAAATATAATCTCAAGCAGAGGCTGGATTCCATGAGGTCTGTGTGCTAGATCTAATTGTAGGGTTGCTGATTGGCCTTTTTATTGCTAATGTGTGTTAGGCAGCAAGCTGATGGTTTCCTAACACCCTTTCTGGGCTAATCAAAGGGAGGGAACTAACATAACCTGGCTCCAGGATAATGGAGCTAAGAATTGGTGTACAGATTAACATGGCCTTTAATTCAAAGATATATATATATGTGTGTGTGTGTGTGTACATATATCACATATATATCATACATGTATATAAGACACATATATGTATCTTTAAGTTCAATCGAGTGTGACTAGGAGGACATCTATTGGTTTTAAAGTCCCCTAAATGTCCACAATGAAAAGAAATCATAATTTTGTGAGGACTGTCTCTTAGCCCTGGTTGACAGCAATATATTCACATAGTGCATATGTGTATTTATACATACATATACATATGCACAAACATACACACATGCATGCTAACACTAACACACGTATATAAAAATTTTAAGATGAAATTTCTAGAAAAATAACAGACAAAGCAAAGCCAGGTTTCAGTTACAGGGCAGGTCCTCTGGGGACCTGAGATTGTCTCTCTCTCTTCAGCAATATTTAAAAAGACAGCTGGAGTTGCAGAGGGAATTATATTTATATTTAATGAGTATAAATGATATGAACACCTATTTAAGTAACCAAGGAAACAGGAAAACAGCACCTCTGTTTGAATTTCTATTTACCTCACATCCTTGTTTTCAATTACATAACTATCCATATAAGTTGAGTCAACATGATGGAAGCATCTGAGAGCTTTTGCTAATTGTTTGCAGTCTGACCAGGAAAGTCTATAGAAATTACTTATTTATTAATTTATTTATTTCTTTACCTCACAAATGCCAAAGAGGTACTGATAAAAGGAAGTTATGTACCTGTAAAACCATGCTGTGTAATCAAGAGTGCTACCTGGCCTGACTTTGACATTTGAATCTCAGGCATCAGAATTTCAGATCTATCATGAATATTTTGAGTATTGAAGAATTGTGGAATTATAATTTCATGCATTATGCTTAAAGGCCTGTATACATTAAGGCTGATAAAAAAAAATCACTTTTAATAAAAGTTTAGTGACTAATCTTTGGTCACCTGATGCAAATCCTTAAAGATTTCTACACTTTATTTTATATAGAGGGCTGAAAAATATCATCGTAGTCCTATGTTAGGGGGAAAAAATGAACTGTCCTTTAGTTTTATTTCTCTAAGATAAACATATCTTTCAAATTTTTAAATTCAAAATGTTAACTTTTTAGATTCATAGTAAAAATTTTTACCTTTTAGGAAATTTATTAGTGTACATTGGATTTTTGGAGGCAAAAAAATAGATTTAAATAAAGTATTACCAACAGATCTTGCTACTTTAATAAGTTTAAAACCTCAGCAGAAATAGTTCAATAATCCGTTACTCAGAATAACATCAATAATTTTCTCTTATCAATTTGATATCTCTGGTTTTTGTTCTGTTTCCTTTTGCTATTACTTTAAAATTTTAGCACTTTTAAAATGGCACTTTCCCTCACTTACCAACCTCTTGTCTTGATGGTGACTGAAGTGAAACTAAATACCTACAATTATGATTTAAGACATCTTCTTGGAAATTCACGAAGAGCTTATTTTTCTTGCCCTCCGTAATAAAATCACCACTTTTCTTTAGAACACATTAACGTAAGGCCAGCTCTTTTATCGTCGTTATTTGTTATTGTTACCATCAGAAACTAGTGAAAGCAAGGCCTTGACAAGTCCACTGTGAATGTTATATTCATCATAGTAGTAAGTGGCATAAGGGTCCATGGGAAAATTAAGTTGTTTCATTTTATATAAAGGCCTAAATTTACATGAGAATGTAGGTTTTTGTAAAATGAAATATAAATTTCACTTGATGAATAATGACAGAAGTAATTAAACATGGCATGAATAGCACAGCCTAGGGACTTCAGTGGATCCAAAGGTGGCTAATATTTTTGTTTTTCAAATTTTAACAGAGAAGCCTAAGTTCTAAATCTTGATCATTAACCTCACCATCACTGCCACCACCACCAAAGTCATCAGTCTCATTTTGTTTTTTGCATACTGGTCACATGATTAGGACATTACTCTCTGTGTTCATCTGAAGAAGAATGGAAAGTATGGAGTTGGTGCAGTTGCAATATCAGTCGCCGTAGGCCATCTAACCTGTAAATGAATTTGTGATACTTGTAAATGTTAAATGGTTGTCTTATTTGTTGTAACTATTTTGAGTCTGCAGCCAAGACTTTTACATCCATTTAAGTTGCCTTAAACATACATTACTTTAAGATAAAACTTACTGTTAGTTGTATAGCTTATATTATTGATTTTGGGAAAATTATTTATGTAAGGAGATGTCTGGCAATAATTTCTTTAATATGATGTTTTAAAATTTTTCCATATGTTGCTAAACATGCTGCTTAATTTAAAAAAAAAAGAACTGGAAATCAAAGAAGAGAACTGACAATAGAAAAGGAAAACATGCATCTCTTTTAAAAAGTAGAATAAGGTTTTTGAGTTAAAAAATAGTATAGCATCAAAAAAGACTGCAATCATTTCATCTAAGGTTTGTGCCCCAATATCCAAATATAAGTGTATTCTTTAAGGATTTTTTTTTCAGAAACTGATGTGACAGTGTGCTAAGTGTGATAGATGAGAATCATAACTGTAAATGTAAATGAATTATAACCCTGTAGTGATGGTAAAACAATGTCTTAAACTCAAGACTGTTTCCCTATGACCTTAGACATTAGTTAAGCTACCTGACCAAACGCTATGCAAGTAACTTGGGAAAATGCAATTAGTTTTGTTAAGAAATGGATTTCTTGTAGGAAGCACAGGTAGATTGCATAGATCATCTCTGATGTAATCCTAGTTCTAAACTTAAATTATTCAAATTGCCGCATACCCTAAAGTACTTTAGTTCATTATTATTTTCTAATATGAGTTTTGGTATCACATTTGGAAGGAATATGTAGCCTTAATCAAATGAAACGCCAAGTGACCAACAGTCAACAAATATTTATTGATCACCTACTATACATTAGGCATCATTCATTTGAGGTGCTGGACCATTACCATATTAGCTGCTAACACAAAATCATGGAATAATCAATTAAGTTACAAAACTGCTTCCTCTTCATCACAGTGTCAGAGGTTGATACTTTCTCATAACTGTCATCAATTTTCCATAATTTTACCATAACTGACACCCAGAGACAGGGTGCAAAACATTAAAGTTTAAAGGATGCATGTAATTTAAATGTTCTATTTAAAAGTGAGTAACTATGTTTTTAATTTCCTAAAGTCTAATTGGTTTCACTTTATAAAAGTCTGAGGATTAAGTAATAAAATATCCAACATGAATCTGTTGCTTTATTTTCAGCTCAATAGAAACCTTTCTTAATATTCACTTCTTTTTAAAAATATTTTTGGGGCACTCAAGTTAACGAAGTCATTTATATTATATATGTTTTACATTATGCAAGAAAACTAGAAAGTTTTTAGTAAGGAATTATATCAAATTAGGCATGTGTTTTATAGACTATTAGTCTATAAAAGTGTTCTGAACGTCTGTGGTGTTAAATTGTTAAAAGGAACAGATATTATCTGGCTTATTTCAAAATCTTAAAATATTTTTAAACAGTTCTATTTTCTAAAATAAAAGATTAGACTCTCAGATATATTAATAATTGGGAATTAAGAGGTAAGTAGACTTAAAAATTATAGAAATAATCCTTTTATGCTTTATTACTATTGATAGCAGATATGGGTAAGATAAAAACTTTAATTGATTTCGAGGGAAGAAAATAGAGTTTATAAAGATCCAAAGTGTCTCTAGGATATGTAATTTTAAGGTTTTTGTTTTTATTTTGTTGATCTAAGTATTCTCAGAAACACCTCAAAATTTAGCTAAATATTTGTTTGTTTTTAGGAATTCTCAGAAAATGAAGTGGTTGGATTTTATTTCTCTGTGAAGTCTTTCTTTTGGAGGGTAATGTCTACAACCTTTATAATAATATTCTTTTTGATTCTGACTAATAATTTTGAAAGTTAAATGTGAATTAAAAAATTCACTTTTCAAAATAGGCTCTCAGAGAAATGTATTCATTTACCTTCTTTATTAGCTTTCATTCTAAGTCATTTAGGTGACACTCATTTCTTCATTTGTAAAAACTAAAAACTTCATGTATTTAGTATTTTGCTTTGGTGTCTATTCCTTTTGGGACCAAGTTTATTCCAAATTCTTAACAGCTGGAGGCCCACAGCCCTTCCAGGAATATCATGGTGTTGTCTAGAGGATCCATTAAAATTTTCTTTTTCCCTTCGTGTAAAATCAGCTCCATCTACCTGAGAAGGATTTTCTATTACAGTGATCTTATACTACAAATATACTAGATAATCAGTGTTCTTTGAAAAAAATCTTATGAATTAGAAAACAGCAACTCTACTTTAGATTTCTATAAAGAAAAAAGTGAAAATTCCACAGAGAATTTGTGTTAAATGTCATTGCAATTTAATATTATTTACTCTTTCATGACTTAAACATAATAAGCTCTGTTATCTTTTTTTTCTCTGCTATAGTTCTTCATTATATACAGCATGATTTATTACTAATGTACTTAATACTTTGCCATCAAGAGTTTCTCTCTTTCTTTGAAAATTCACACTTGGTGCATGATTCCCTAGCAATAGATATTGCAATGAAAATGTAGGGCTTTGCTATTTTCTTTTCTTGACTCTTAAACTGCTCATGACTGAAAACTATACTTCTCCTTTAGAATTTTAAGATTCATTGCAGTGTCTCTTAAACAGACCGACAACTACTACATTAAATCATGCATTGACTTGAACAAGGAGCAAATATAAACCCCATCTCTTTATCCTCTATACCTGCCAGGCACATTTTTTTTTTTCAGCAGCCTTTTATTGTTAGTTTATTTTAATTATCATAGCTGCTTCTTTTAGTCTACTGATGGCTGCCTTCACTGATTTTATTCTGTATCTTTGCTAAAATAATAATAATTTCTTTTATATGGTCATGCATTATCCATGTACACACAGAGTGGCTGCTTCTGAATTGTTCCATTACTTTAAATGGTAAATGGCTTTTTGCAAAAATTTTGTCTCTATTATCTTAAGACCTACAAATATGGCGAATTCATATGATACATTCCTTTGTCAAGAAAGCAGAATTCAGGGGTGTTGAGTTTGTTCTGTATGTTGCAAATGTGCAGACTGATCATTATGAATGAAGACTTGTCACCAGGACCAACTCCTTAAGTAATACTTTTTAGAGATTTCCCTTTCAGATGAGTCTTTCAACATCTTCTGTACACTTTGCTACTTCCAAATTAGTCTTCCACTTATCAGTACTTTCATTTCGTTGTATTTATCCTTAAGTATTCTTTATTAAACTTTCCCAATCACTTCAACTGTCTTATTTTCAAATAACAAATATGCAAACTTGAAAGATAGCTTTTTTTTTGTATCTGAGGTACATTGGTCTAATGTCTTTTTTTTCTGAGCATATGTTTAGTGACAAACAAATTGAGTCATAAAGGCAGAACCTTTAGTGTTCATTTATTTTATTAACAAGGAAACTAAGGCCCAGAGAATCAATTGCCCTGAAGTACCTAAATGGTGTGAGCAGGACCAATATTTTTCTCTCTCTGAATGCCATAGAAATAAATGTTTTGGTGATGTCTTAAAGCAGCAGAGTTCCTTTTTGGATTGATGATGAATAGAGATGTGATGTATAAATAGAGCTGCCCCTTAGTTTGTCTTTATTGACACCCTTTCAAATTTTTCTTGCATTATGTGACCCTCCTCCTCCATGGCTCTTTAAGTCACTGATGGATGGATGGCTGTGATGTTGCTATGTTTGAGGTCCCATTTTACCAAAACGGTGACCAAGTCTGCTTTGAATGAGTATGATCTTTCATATTCATCAAAGGTCACTCCAGTAACTGACCTCATTGCTCTTTGCCCAAGTAATATTTGTATTCTGATGAACTTTTAGAGATGCTTATGAGAGGTTTCCCATAGACATTTTCAGATAGCAGAAAACCTAAATAGCGCAGGTAAAACCTTACATGAAGAGTGTATATGTGCTTTGTGAATTAAACAAGTTGTGAATTGAAAGAAAATTTTATCTGCTTTTTTTTATAAGGACCAATACATATGTCCAGGAGATAGCAATTAAGTTACACTGAGTAGAACCGAATCCTGGTGAGAACTTAGTGGTTGTCAGTGCTACTTTCTTATTTTTCTTGAGAACAAAATAATAGAAAGAAAAGACTGAAGTGATACAGGGATATTTTAATTTTCTAAAAACATAACATTTATAATTCATCAAAATATCTTAGGATACAAAACATTAAGCAATAGGTATGGCAATTACCATGTTACTTATGAAAGTAATAAAAATTATTTGAAGCCAGTGGGATTGCATATCAGAATTTCACTAAAGCCTTTTAACTTTCCATTAAAAGATGATAAGTTAGTATAGTTCTTTCAAATATTTAGTACATTTAAGTTTCTTCCTAGTTATCTCCATTAACTAGACATTTAGATTCTGACAGAGTTAATTAAATAAAGCATCTTATGAGAACATTGTCGTGAATTAAAGAAAAATTTTAGTATTGTTTAAATGAAGAAGGCTGGGCTATGCCAATTTACCCCTACAAAAAATGGACAAATAGATCATAATATGAAATAGGCAAACAGTAGTACATAGACTGTAGGGGAATTTGGAGTTATGTCAGAGCACCTCCTTATGGTAGAATCAAACAAAAGTGTGGTTGAAGGAAAACCCTGCAGACCAAGGAGAATCTCAGAAAAATATATTTGTAACTTTTAATTGAAAGTCTCAAAAAAAAGTCTCTCTAAATCAACCCCAGAACCCATTGTTTCTTTACCACATTATTGGTAAAAACTTAAATTACTTTAGCAGACCAACAAGATTACAACATATATGATGATTTTTTTACTAATATATATTCTGAACAAATATAGTGAAAGCTCAAAAACTTTTTTTGACCACAATTAACTTTAGAGAAGGCAGTTAAAACATCTTAAGTGAATATATATATACACACCTTTCTGACACCGTAAGTTGTATCAAGAGGCAATAGAAACAGGAAAGAGTTTAAGGCTAAAAACCAGGAAAATTTCTCTAAAGATTATAGTGCCAGTGAATCATCTTCTAAGAAAAAAGGGATCAAAGCTTTATTATTAGATGATACACTTTAGACTAGGCTGCACAAAGCACTGAGAGGGTTTTCTGTAAAGGCAATCGTGCTTTGAGAGGGTGGATGGCTGAAGAACAAATCTACTTGGACTTCATCATCCAGGTGCA